CACAATTTTGGTAAAAATAATAAAAATTTGTTACAGAAAAAAAAACTTTTTCCTAAAAAAAATTTTTTTATAAAAGGACAAAGTGACCTGGGAATTCCACTCCCAGGAATGTAACCCCCAAAGAATTGAAAACAGGCACTTGAACACATATCTGTATGCGGAGGTTCACACCAGCATGACCACAATAGGAATCGTGGTGTGCCCAGACAAGGGATGTTCTTCAACCGTCAAAACAGAACCTAGCCCCAAGGCATTATGCTAAGTGCAAGAAGCTGGCCACCAAGGCCCCTATTGCATAATTCCATTTATATGACATTTGCAGAAAGGGTGGCGTCCACAAGGACAGCCAGAGTGTTGTGGAGGCTGGGAAGGAGGAAACTGGGAGCAAACTGGGTTCAGGTTTCTTTCAGGGGTGATGAACATGTCCTGGGTGCAGATGGTGGTGAYAGGTGTGCAACATCGTGAATGTACTAACACCATAAGTTTTCAATGGTCAGAATGGGAAAATGTGTGGGTTTTAGCACAATTTTGGTAAAAATAATAAAAGTTTGTTACAGAAAAAAATCTTTTTCCTAGTTCTTCACTTACTGGCAGAATTTTCAGGAATACATCAAAGCTTTGAAGTGAAGGATGAACGTATATGCGAGGGTTAGCCAGCACAGTGGGGCACACCTGTCATCCCAACGACTCAGGAGGCTGAGGCAGAAGGCTCACAGGTTGGAGGCCAGCCTCAGCCACTTAGCCAGGCCCTAAGCAACTTAGGGAGACCCTGTCTATAATCTTGAAAATGTAAATAAAAATTAAATGGGCTGAAGATGTAGCTCAGTGGTAAAGMGCCCTGATTCAATCCCCAGTATCAATAGCAACTTCCCCCGGCCCCACCCCACCCCACCCCTCATCTGCAGGCTGATATTTAAAACAAGGAGCTGGATTTTCCTGCTCTACTCCAGGAACCCCGGTTTCTCAGCCCTGCTTCTCTGCGGTTCATTCTGTTTTCCTCCAAATGTTGCCATCAGCCTCAGGTTGATGCCAACACGCTGGGCCACCCAGCCCTCACCTCCACCCAGTCTCAGACCCAGAGGAGCAGCCCATCCCCTGGGGCTGAATCTCTAGGCCCCAGGAGCCCTTCCCTGCAGCATCCCTCCCATCTCACTGGCCAGCTCCCACACCGCCCAACCAATCCGAAGCCAGAAGAATGGGCCACCGGGAGGCTGGGACCAATGGGGTCCRCCCTCTGAGGCTGGGAGGAGCCCGGAGGAAGGAAGGCTGTTGGTCTCCACTGCCTCTAGGAAACTGCTTGGAAGACGTTTGAATTTTATTTTCTTCTTTTTGAGTTAATGACTAATAAATGTTTTATAATAAACCTAAACTGTGTTTTAATAGTTGAAAATGAATCAGGAGAGGGAGGAAGGGGGAGAGGGAGGGGGAGGAGGGGATAGAGAGGGGAGGGAAGAAAGAGAAGGAGAGAGGGGGAGGGCCACCGGCTTCTGGGTCCTTGCTCCYGGGCCTCCTGCGCACAGCCCCGGTTCCTCCTCTGAGCCCTCCGTGAAGTGACCCTGCCGATTCCCATCCTCCAGAGGAGGAAGCGGGGTTCAGGGGCGCAGCCAGGGTCTTGTTAGGCCACTCAGCGAGAGACCAAGCGCCCGAGGCTGGAGGGCAGGTGGACTGGCTGCTGACCCAGCGGATGGTGCTCTGGAGCCATGGCCGGGCTGAGGCTTCCTGGGGTTCCCAGGAAGCTGGGCATCCCGTCTTGACCGCCAAGACATGGGTGGCTGGAGTTCTTGACCTTTGTGACCAAGGACATGGGCAGAAATGTCACCACAGGTAGCTCACAGGCGGAACAAGCAGAGTAAAGCGCTGGAGGCCGGTATCTTTGTGTGTAAATTTGTTTTTTCCTTCGGGTGGGCACCATGCTGTATTCGTCTCATCTTTATTTGGTGCTGAGGTTGGACCCCAGTGCCTCCCGGGTGTAGGCGAGCGCTCTACCACCAAGCCACAGCCCCAGCCCCTGTGGACCTGATGTCACCACAGGCAGCAGGAGATCTAGATGACAGTGTGCCCCTCCCTGAGCGCTGTAGTTCCAAGAACCTATGAGGTGACAGTTTAGTGACAGCAATTAAGTGACACAGCTGCACTCCAACAGAGTCCAGAAAGTTCCAAGTAGAAGAAAGGACTCTTCACAGACATCTCTGACCTCAAAGCCTCCAATGGGGGCATTACAACTAGAGACAGTGATTTACAATTCAACAGGGGGGGACCCTGGGGGCTGGGCTCCCTGGAGAAAGGCCACAGGAGGGGAGGGGAGCCAGCCCYTTCCCCAGGCCTTGGCTCTTCATCGTGATGTTGTCATGATTTCATTATTTCATTTTGTAACCAGGTCTGGYCTCCAACTTGGGATCCTCCTGCCTCAGCCTCCCCAGTTGCTGGGATCACAGGTGTGCGCCACCCCACCCAGCACTCATTTTTTAATACATTTTAAAATGTACATTGAAATACATTAAGTATCTACTTAGACATTTTAAGTGGCTATTTAATTCTTTTGATATTTTAAGTGGCTATTTAAACTGACATTGAACTAGCCGATGTGGCTGATAGCTACAATCTCAGCACAACCGGGGACCTTCCAGCGCCCAGGCTGTGTCCCAAWACCAGAGGCAATTGATCCCTCGGGCTCCCCAGCCTGGCAAGCTCCTCCCTCACCCGGGACTTTGCAGCCCCCACAGGGCACCTCCGAGGCTGGTCCAGCCCCGTCCACCCCTCAGCCCTCCCCACCCATTTCTATTCCTATTCCAGGTCTCCTCCGGAAGCCCCTGCCCCTCAGGCTAAGTGGGGTGTCCCCTGGGGCTCTCTGGGGTCCGGTCTGCCGCAGCTGAGGATGGATACGGGACGTCCCAATCACTGTGTCACAAGCACCCCCCAGCACAGGACGGGGCAGGGGGCCTGTGTGCCCGAATGAAACAGCCGAGCACTTCAGAGTGGGCAGGCGCRGGTGGAATCCCACCTGGCCTCAGAGCGGCCGGAGTCTCGGTTTCCTCATCKGTGAAGTGAGGGGGTTTCTGGATGGGGTGGTGCATCAGGGCTTCTGCAGGGGGATGGCTGCCCTGGAGGCTGCTGGGAGGTCCCATCCCTGCTGACAGTCACGTTGAGTGGGAAGAAGAGGCTGGAGGGCGGGGGAGGAGTCCAGGAGGCCCGGGAAGCTCCCGTCACCTGGGAAACTGGTCCAACCAGTGCCTGGCTCCCGTCTCCGGCTGGGGACGGAGAGCTCGGGAGGCTGTGGAGGGGGCGCTGGGGCAGGGCTTCTCGGGCACCCGGAGTCCCACAGAGCCCCTTCAGACAGCGGGCCCAGCCCTCTGGCCTCCTGGGGTCCCGCCTGTGGCCTTTGGCATCTCCACGGGACACCGGGGGACTGTTCTCATGGGGACTCGGAGCTGCTTCCCAAAGGGCCTGCTGCTCTCAGGTGAGGAGGGAGCGGGCTGGGGAGGGTGGCCCTCGGCCCAGGGCTGGGTGTCTTCTAGGAAGGGAGGGACGATGACTGGGGAAGATGAAATCATTAGAGGAAGGTCCATTCCCAGGTTGTCTGTAGAACATTCTAGAACCGTGGGGGCAGGAAGGGGCTGGTGTTTGATTCCCTGCTGTACCCCTGGTGACCAGGGAAAAATGTCGGGGATGGTAACACGTCACCTGGGGTGGGCACCATGGCCAGACCCTGAGTGTGTCACACCTGGAAGGAGCCGTGCCGTCAATGAACCCGGAGGTCCAGGTGACACCGTACCCCAGGGCAGGAAGCCCTCCTGGGCCCACGGGGGACACCTCTCATCGATGCCAGCCCTGTTCCCAGTGCCCCGCGCTCGGGCTCTGCCCCCAGATGAAGATCTGGGGGGAGGGGAATGACGGGGTCCCTCCCCACGCCCCAACCTCAGGCCTCCCCTCCTTCCCACAGCCTGCCTCCTGGCCCTCTGGCCACCCCACGGCTCCCGGGCAGCCCTCCGAATCCAGAAGATTCCAGAACAGCCTCAAAAGAACCAGGACCTTCTGCTGTCCCTCCAGGGTGTCCCCAACAGCTTCCAGGACTTCACCTGGTACCGGGGGGCGGAGGCCCACGGGGGGACGATGCTCTTCACCTACATCCCTGGGCTGCAGCGGCCCCAGCGGCACGGCAGCGCCCTGGGACAGCGCGACGTCGTGGGCTTCCCCAACGGCTCCATGCTGCTGCGTCGCGCCCAGCCGTCGGACAGCGGCACCTACCAGGTGGCCGTGGCCATCAACCCCGCCTGGACCATGAGGGCCAAGACCGAGGTCCGGGTGGCCGGTGAGTGCGGGAAGCTGAGTGCCTGGGTTCTCTCGTGCATCCACACACACTGATGGAGCACCTGCTGTATGCCAGGCCTGGCAGATGTCATTAAGCCTTCAAGCGCTTTAACTAAAGGGCCCCCAGAGTGTCTGCCTGTGACAGACCCCACGGAAGGCACCTTCTCAGTGACGCCATGTGCAGGGGTCCATCAGACCTTGATTGAGCACCTCCTGTATGCCTGTTCCTGAGAAAGACACTGCATCTCTCCTTCCTCGTGTGCACAGGTCAAGGCGTGCTGACACTCAGGCAGAGCACAGGGGACAGGGCAGGGGACAGCAGCACCGGCCAGCTGAGTGCTGCCCTCGGTGCGTTCCCTGGAGCGCAGTTTCTCGCCCTCCCCCTCCAGGCCCCATGACCTGGAGCCCCGGAGGGTGCCAAGGGCGAGTCATCGTCCCACCCCGGGTCCCTGGTCACCACGTGGCTTCCTGGTCGTGACCCTCCAAAAGGTCTCCAGGGGAAATGTCACCCCTGCTTAAGAGTCACTGCCCCACGGCGACTTGTCTCTACCTTAAACGGAGAGGCAGAGCCACTCTGTGTCTGTTACAGGTGGGGAAACTGAGGCACGGAGAAGCTATGGTTGACTAAGGAAGACGAAACGGGACAGTGTGACATGGGGAAGGTCATCAGRGAGGCCAGGCGAGGGAGGCTGAGGAGAGAGGGGTGATGGCCGGGAGGTCATGTCCCCCAAATTCATATGTTGGGACCCTCACCCCAGGTGACGGTATTGACAGGGGGGACCTAGCCGGGTGCGGTGGCCCACACCTGTCATCCCAGTGGCTCGGGAGGCTGAGGCAGGAGGATCACGAGTTCAAAGCCAGCCTCAGCAGCTCAGGGAGACCCTGTCTCTAAATAAAGTACAAAACAGGGCTGGGCTGGGGCTCCGTGGCCAGTGCCCCTGGGTTCCATCCCTGGTACAAAAATATGGTGGTGCCTTTGGCATCTGTCCCTGCTGTTTGGTGACTGTGGGGAGGGACCAAGGACCTTGTACCTGTCAGCAAGTACTGACCGTACCACTGAGCTGTGTCCCCAGACCAAAAGGCGGGTCACTGGGAGGTGATGAAGCCAGAGTCAGAGCCTCTGCAGACGAGGTCAGGGCCCCTTCTAGAGAGACCCAGGAGAGCGGCTCAGCCCCTGTCCCGCGAGGACCCAGCAGGAAGACCGCTTCCCTGACGGAGCCCAACCATGCTAGCCCATGACCCTGGACTCCCAACCTCCACGGTTTCCAAGTCACCTGGTGTACACTGCGCGGTTCCAGCGGCTTTAATGAGCCAGGACAGGAGGGAACCCGCACAGAGGCCCTGGCAGAGGGAGCAGCAGGTGCCAAGGCCCTGGGGCTGGGCTGGCTTGGTGTATAGTCAGAGCACAGAGAGCGGACGCAGAGGCTCCGAGGGGTGAGCAAGGCAGGTTTGGAGGCCAGGTGGGGGGGGCACACGGCCAGGCTCGCAGGCTTCAGCTGCACCCCATTCCCCTGGGGCATGAGCTCTCAGGAGAGCCCCCTCCCCAACAGCTGCTGCCTGTGGTCACCCAGCAGCCCTGTAAGGATACACGTGCTTTTCTTTTGTTTTACAGAAGAGGAAACTGAGGTTCAGAGAAGCCCTCAGCTTACCAGAGGCATCGTCTTCCAGACGTCCTCACTTATAGGCTTCATGTCCTAATTAATTAAATGACTTAGTCATTGTTGGAGAAAATCAAGGCAAAGGAAATAACAATGACAATTCAGGTTGGGTGTCCCTTATGTGACCAGAAGTGTTTGGACTTGGAATATGTTTGGATTTTGGAATTCTGACATAAACACGATTAGGTGTCTTGGGGGTGGGACTCAGGTCTAAACAGGAAACTCTTTTATGTTTCACAGGCACCTGATGTACACAGCCTGGAGGGGCTTTCTGCAATTTTTTTTTTTTTTTTTTTTTTTTTGGTACCAGGGATTGAACTCAGGGGCACTCGGCCACTGAGCCTCGTCCTCAGCCCTATTTTGTGTTTTATTTAGAGACAGGGTCTCAAAGCTTAGGGCCTTGGCTTTTGCTGAGGCTGGCTTTGAACTCCAGATCCTCCTGCCTCGGCCTCCCAAGCCGCTGGGATTGCAGGTGTGCGTCCCCCGCCCCCCGCCAGCGCCCGGCTTTATGCAATTTTTCTGGGTGGAATTTTCCACTCGAGTTCTGTCGACTCCAGGAGCTCCCAGTTTTGGAGCATTGGGGTGTAGATTTTCAGATTGGGGACATTCAGCCTGTGACAGTGACGTCAGAGCGGCCGGTGCACGTGCTGTGGCAGGCCCTTGGCAGGAGCAAGCCGACCCACTGCGGGAAGCCTGGGCCGTGGGGTGCGGGGACCTTGATGCTGAGATGGGCGGCTGCTGGCGACTTCCCGCCTGGCCCCACCTGCCTGAGTCACCCGCAGAAGCCACTTAATCTGATCTTGCCACCTGCAGGATTCCCAGAGCAGAGAGCTCTCGCCCGGGCCAAAGGCAGCCTCTGGGCTGCAAGGAAGGGCTTCACCGAGCCGCCTTGCTGGGGACAACGGCCAGACCTGGGCGTGGGTGGCCCCCTGTCCCCTGCTACATTTTCAAATAGGTTTCAGACACTTGAGGTAGAAGAGGTTGAGAGAAGGGAATGAAATACACAAACTGCGTACACACAAAGGACACGGTCCACACAGTGACCCCCCACTGAGCCTGAGGTCACTCACACCCACTTCAGGGCTCCCAGGGCCCTCTCTTGGAGCTGCAGAGGGATCGTCAAGAGTCCAGGGGGCCTGGGTCGGCCCTCAGGTGAGTTGTGCCACCTCTGTGCCTCGGTTTCCTCGTCTGCGGAACGACACGGAGCCCACCTGGTTGGACAGTGAAGGTCGCAGTCTTACTCCTGCTCCCCAGAAGAAGAAACCGAGGCACAGAAAGGCTGAGTCATTTGCCCTAGGTCACACAGCCAGCAGGGACTGAACCCCTGCGTTCTGACCTCAGAGGCTACCTGCTTAGCTGTCGGAGGGCTGGGGACAACAGGTGTCCAGCTTGAGAATAAAGCCTGGGAGGGCCCCAGGCTGGGGGTCAGGTGAGTGGGAGCCGGCAGACTCGGGGTCCAAGCCGGGAGGGCAGGTTGGAGAGTCCTGCGAGTCCCCACATCTCCCGAAGAGCGCAGCCAGCACCTCGGGCCTCCAAAGCTGGGAGTGAGGGACACAGAGCGGGCAGCAGGGGACACCTCGGGAGGTCCATCTGGAGGACAGCAGGTCCTGGGAAGCGGAGACCTGGAGGGGGGAGAGCGGGGACTCTGTGCCCTCAGGGCTGGCCGAGCCCCTGGGACATCACTGTCCTCTCGTCCCCCAGAGAAGCCTCAGAAGCTGCCGGCCACGTCCCCGCCCTTGGACGCCGGGCTCCTGGCTGCCACCGTCATCGGCTGTCTCTCCACCGGGCTCCTGCTGGCCGGCAGCCTGGCCTTCCTCCTGGTGACCCGAGGCTGCAGGGGCCCCAGGTGCGTCCCTGTCCCCCGAGGGCAGGAGGGAGGGAGGACCGGGCAGGCCCCTGGCTTCTCTCCACCCACCACCTAACGGGGCTCCCTCCCACACCCCAGGGCAACCACCTCAGGGAAGCCGGAGCCGGGCCCCCGCGGAGACACGGGTAAGCTGCCACCTCCCTCCGCTGTCCTCCCCATCGGGGCCTCCCTGGGGGCCTGGACTCAGCCCTGAGAATCCCAGGCCCCCCCCAAGCTGCTTCTCCTCCTTCTCTGTGGCTGTCCCTCCTGCCATCATGCGGGGGATCCTCATGGGGAACCCAGGGTCCCTCCCGGGATTCCTGGATCCAGCTCCTCTGCTCTGAAGCCCTCCATGGCTCCCCAGTGCCCTTGGGGTGCACCAATGTTGGGGAATGAAGGAGTCAACGGAGGGAGGGACGGGCTGGGCTGCTGGGGCGCTATCACCAGCAGGTCCCCCCCTCCATCCTCTGCTTCAGGTGACAACAATGTGTACGAAGTGATGCCTTCTCCAGTCCTCCTGGCGACCCCACTCAGTAACACGGGGCCCACGAGCGCAGCCTTGGTGAGTCCCATCCCCAGGGCCCCCTAAAGCCCGTGTCCGGTTTTTTGTTAGTTTTGGGGGACAGAACCCAGAGGCACTTTACCAGTGAGCCACACCCCCAGTCCTCTTTATTTTTTATTTACTTTTTAAATTTTGAGACAGGGTCTAAGTGACTTAGGGCCTCGCTTAGTTGCTGAGGCTGGCCTCCAACTTGCCATCCTCCTGCCTCAGCCTCCCAAGCTGCTGGGATGACAGGCGTGCACCACAGTGCCYGGGCCCTAAAACYGGCTTCTAACAGGGCGCCTCTCCTCCGAGTTGGCCATGGTGCCTGGGGYGCCTTGACACCCAGTTTAGCCTCCCACCACCTAACGGGGCTCCCTCCCCGCACCCCAGGGCGACCACCTCAGGGAAGCCGGAGTTTTATTTTAAAAATCATAAAGAAAAGACCCTGAGAGGAAGTAGCTCTTGCCCCTGGCAGGTGTGAGAAACCYGCTCACCTGGCCAGGCACAAAGAATGCACCAAGGGACACAGGTCTGGCAAAGATCCAGGCTTTACTTTAAGGATGGTCTGGCAAGACCGGGTAGCTGGTGGTCAGGGACACACCGCTGGGCACGACCAGTGTTTTATCCCCTGGAGGGCAGGATCCCTCCAGTTCCTCTTGGGCTGAGTGCTCTGGACTGAGTGCTCTGGCTGAGTGCTCTGGGCTGAGTGCTCTGGGCTGAGTGCTCTGGCTGAGTGCTCTGGCTGAGTGCTCTGGGCTGAGTGCTCTGGCTGAGTGCTCTGGGCGCACAGTCATCCCCAGCATTGCCTTGGTCTCCGTTTCCTGTTGGGTTGTTTAAAGAAGTGTCCCTTTAGTTGTCCCCACCTTCCTTTGTCTCTTGTCGCAGGAAAGTCCCTTGGATCCAGCGTCCCTTGGCACACACACAGTTCAGCTCTGCCCGTCGGGTGKGGGCTTCCTTTCCTCCTCCTCCCTCCGAGGGGCTGTGAGCTGGCCCACGGGCGTCACCTGCCACCAACTCTCCCCCTCTGGCCTTCCTTACACCCAGGTCACGTGGCATTCAAAGGTGGACGCGTTTTATTCTGGAAACGGCCCAGTGGGCCCTCCTGTCCCCGCCTGGGCGGGTGGCCTGGCTCCTTGTACCCTCCTGGACTTCCTGGGGGGGACAGTCCCCCCTTCCACTGGGGCCACAAATTACTTAAATTTAATGAAAAGAGAAACTTTAAGAATGGAGGCCGAGGCTCAAGGGCAGGTGTCGGGGACAGGAGCCGCGTGGCTGACCCACCGAACACAGCCCCCAGGGGCTTCCCAACCAGAGGGGCGGCGGGGACCCCAGAGGTCCCAGGTCCCGGGGCACCGAGGGGACCCAGCTCACCTGTGCCCTTTCCTCRCAGCCCCCGACCCTGCCTCTACCCTTGAGGCCCGAGCTGGAGGCCCACCAGTACCAGGTGTGTGGGGACCCAGACAAGTAGGTCGGGGACGGTCCTCCCTCTGCCCACCCCCCAGCTCCCCTCCTGGGCCTGGAGTCCCCTCCTCTGTAGAACGGGGCCATGTCCTGGGACTTTCATGGGCAGAACAAGGCCCAGAGAGGGATAAGGGATTGCCCAGAGTCACACATCGGGTCAGGACGCCAGTTGAGACCATTCCTGGGCCTGAGTCTCAGTCCCTCTTGTCCCCTCCCGTGTGTCCTGTGTCCCAGTCTCCCTCTGAGTGACAGTCTGCATACCACTGTGTATGTCTGCCTCTGTCCTGGGCTCCCTCCCTCCCTCCCTCCCTCCGTCTCTCTCTCTGTGTCTCTCTCCACCTCTGTCCCTCCCTCCCCTGGTCTCTGTCCCTCCCACCTCCTTTCCCAGCTCCCCTCACCCTCGTCCTCCCTGTCCCCCCAGGACCTGCTGCACCCCGACTCCTCCCCTTACTGCCAGCTCGTGCCCAAGTCCTGAGCGAGGGGAGGGGACAAGGACTGGGCCGCCCTCTGGGGACCTGGCACAGACGACGAGGCCTGGCAGGATGGGCCCCCAGCACTGGACAGGAGGAGTCGGCCCCAGACCCAGCACCCACCCCAGGCCCCTGGGAGGACCAGGCAGGTCCCCACCTGCCATCAACCTGCTCCTCCAAGCCACCAGCCTGGCCGCCTGCCTGGGCACCAGGCCCTCGCAGGGTGGGTGGTCAGGTGGCCTCATGGGCACCACCAGAGGGCCCCCAACTGACCGTGGCCTCCAGTGACCCCTGGAGCCCTCCCCCGCACGAGGCAGCTCCCACCCACAGGTCCCCCCAGGGGGACACCTGGCCCAGGTGACAGTCCCGGAAGGTTACCTCGGTGCTGGAGCCCCGCCCTGCTCAGGCAGCTGGAGCCCCCTCAAAATTCTGCCTCCCCAAGCCTGCAGCCAGCGCCTGGCATCGCCGCACAGTCTCAGCCAGTCCCTCAC